TGGTTTATATTATAGAATGGACTATATTTTCATAAATAATGTATGTAAAAAATTTTTCATCGCCTAGTGCATATTAGTTTAGAAAAAAAAATCAATAGGTACATTTTTTTTAATTAACTATATCCTATGAAAAATTTGTTAGGAAAAATTTTGGAAATACTTAATTGCAGAGATTTGAGATGAATTTGAAGTACTTTCTAAAAACGTAATCACTTTTTTTATTTTGCAACATAAATCAATAAAAAACTGGTGCTTTTTAAAAAATCGCCAAGCTAAATTTTTTTATTTTTTATTAAAAAAGAAACTTGAAATCAACACATATTTGGGCTCTCAAATTTAATTTGTCCACGGCAGCCCCTTTTTGTCCCACTGTGCCTCGTATAGTTGATCTAAGATTTAATATTTCGTGGGAGAAAAAATAGGGCACGTGTTCATCTATGCCAGTTACGATAATAAACTCAGCCGGAATTGCGATAAGCATTAGCTGCTAAAATGCGTTGAAAGAAAACAAATTGCAATCGAAAAATTGGCAATAAGTAAAAAACATACACACTTACATGCATACGTATGCACATTGAAGCCTATTCTTATTCATACGAAAACTAATTAAAAGATGATAAGCAGACGAACAAATAATAGAAGATAATTCAATAACAAACGGAATTGGTATTTTACGCTATGCAAAACGTTTAACTTCAAGAAATATTAAATCTTTCATATCATTTTATTCTGCCGCATTTTCAGTTGCATCAATGAATGTTTAGCTGGCTTGCCATATTTTGCTAGCTATTTCCCAGTGCTATTGATTTTGCTATTTGGTTCGCCTTTAATTAACTTTCATATTGCCATTGTTTTTGTTGCATTTGAATGACTACATATATTGCCTTTTATTTATGTATGTTGGCTATTAACGTATTTACGTATTTTGGTTGATATGAAAGTTCTACTATCTACCACGGACCAGTTAATGAAATAACGTACATAAAATTCTAACGATTATTGTGTTCAACGAAACGTTAAAAGGAAAAGGAGAGTAAGCACTAAAACCCAATGACTAGGCAAGAAACAATAGATCGAATGATGACGAGTACGCTAATGGCGGGAACAGCAGCGGAGATGGTGGCTTAATGAGCAGTCATATTTGCGAAAAGATAGCCAGGCTTTAAAGAGCAGGATTTAAGTGCTAATAAAGGCAATTCATATACATTAGGGCGGGTTATTTTATTTTTCTTTTGACTATGAGCGTATAGCATAGGAGGATTCCACTTCTAACTCTAAGCAAATTTGTTGAAGAAACCTTAGATCTAAAATCACGATACTACGGCAAATGCCAAGAAACCTATTTTCGTAAATTGGCAAACTCCGCATTGATTTTAGACCTATGGTTTCTTCGGAAAATTTTCTTAAAATTATACGTAGAATCCCTGTGCCATAGGCGTATAGTCAAAAAAAAAATATCCCATACAAATTGACCCGCCCTAATATACATACTAGAGGTTTACGCCGACAGGCTTTGCGGCGGCGGCGTGGT